GTAAGAGGTTCTCATTTGAAAACTTGGTATTCTTTTATGCTAGTATTCCATTTGCATATTCCATTTTCTTTCGTTTGGTTCTCGTTTTCTATCGAAAGGCAACTGGTCCCGGTACCTGCTTTACTTTCAGATTCATTTTTATGCATGTGAATGATATTTATTCAGAGACTGTACAAACACATTCCTTACGAGAATAGTAAGAATATCTATGACTGGACGATAGCAATAGTGCCTATATTTTTTTCTGGAAAATGTTCATTATTTTAAAATGGCGTTCTTGTTTTAATTCGGACATTTTTTTTTTTTTTTTTACTTTATGGTTAATTCAGATTTCATAGATTTAACTCCAAAGGGACAATTCCGATCAGTGAATAAGAAATTCTATCATGTGTCCTACGTTTTCAATGTTATTTCCCACACTATTGATTTCATTTAATTTCACTTTTTTTTCTGCTGAATATGAAACTGCGGCTTTGCTGTTCAATATTGTTAACTGTTATTCTTTTCTGATGTTACTGATGTAAAGTCAAATTATATCAGATACTGTGTATGGAAAACAAAGATAAAGTTTATTTATGATACTGTTGACTTTTCCACTCCCCAACCTTTAGAAAAAAAGCTAAATGATGGTACACGCGCGCACACACACATATACATATGCATATACATATACATACACAGGCACACACACACACACACACACACACACACACACACACACACACACACACACACACACACACACACACACACACACATATATATATATATATATATATATATATATATATATATATATATATTCTTTTTACCATCTCTTGGCACGCCTGCGCACAAGCAAAATATATATATATATATATATATATATATATATATATATATATATATATATATATATATATATGTACATATATATATATATATATATATAAAGCCATGGACGAGCAGGAGACGTTCTGTACGACGATAATGTTAACGCGATAGCTCAGTGGTTAGAGCACTGGACTCCGACCCTCGTGGTCCCGGGTTCAATTCCCCGTCGCGGCAGTCGTAAAAATGCCTGCGCTCTGACTACTACCTCGAATTCGAGAAAACGATATATCGGCTTGAGAAGTCAATCGCAGGTGTCATAGGGGAAGTCACCGCCGTGGCACAAGTGTTAACGCACCGAGCCACGGTTGATTAGGAAGGGTATTCAATCAGGCAAGGGTGACACTGCCATATAACCTCTCAATACTGAATTGAGAGAGGCCTATGTCCTGCAGTGGAATGAATGGCTGTTGGAAAAAAAAAAAAAAAAAAAAAAAAAAAAAAATCTATATATATATATATATATATATATATATATATATATAAATATATATATATATATATATAAAGAGTATATATATATATATATAAAGAGGTTATATATATATATATATATATATATATATATATATATATATATATATATAAAGAGGTTGACAGTGCCAGACACAGATAAACAGATGGGTAGATACTTTAACAGAAGAGCTGCATTCGATGAAAGTCCTCAAGTTGTCTGCTTTCACAAGAGCAATAACACTTTTGGAATTTGTCAAATTGCAGTATGAATCGTGGTCTCACTGGCCTCAAATCTTGGGTTTTCCATCATAGCCGTCTTTTCCGCGCGAAAGCAATTGAGTACGTACTAAATATTTCTAATTAATTCTAATATACATACATTTGTTACATATATCAACGTGTCCTAGAGTAGTTTAACATGCTAGTTTTGCGCATTAGTCAAAGGGAGTGCGAGACTGGACAATATAGTTTAAAAGCACATACTTTTTAAATTTATTTATTATTTTTGAAAAATTACAGGATGGTCAGTAATAGCGATGACCTATTATCTTAAATACTTGTAATACAGGAGCCATAATTTAAGCAAAGCAAAGGATATATTGTAGAAATATAGTATTTTCCCCATTGGTTTACACACACACACATATATATGTAGAATATATGTATATAAACACATATATCATATAATATATATATATATATATATATATATATATATATATATATATATATATATATATATATATATATATATATATATATATCACACATATATATATATTACATATGATATATATATCATATATATACATACATATATATATATATATATATATATATATATATATATATATATATATATATATATATATATATATATATATATATATATATATATATATATATATATATATCATATTTAAATATATATGTATATGTATATCTATCTATCTATATGACAGATGACAAATATGGGTGCATGCTTATCTATAGCAGAATGACTCCGAACGAAATTCCAATTGAAAAGTATGACAACTGTAGTATCACACTTATCTGATGTGGTAGAGATGTTTGTGCCTTGAGTATGTCTTGATATAATTATCATATAAATTAACATAACTGAATTTATGAATTTTACCCCAAGTTTTCTCATTGTCTGCAGCAAAATATTCATTAGATATATAAATAAATAGTTAAACCAGAATACAAAATGTAGGGTTATTCACCTCTGTCACTAGTCATTTCGGAGTGTATAACTCGCATGGTAATTTAAGTGGTGTTTCAGTATAAAAGGCCATGGGAAAAAAACATCACTGCAGAGGTGGCTGCACAGATCCTGATCTACTGGTTCATACTCTGCATAACTTTCTTCAAAATTTTTCATCTCAACCCAGTAAGGTCTCATGTACTGTACTTATCACCCTGCTGACTGTCTTTTCTACAAAAAATGTTTTACCTTACATGCAATCAGTATACATTTTACTAGTCACTTATTTTGCAATATATATATATTTTGTTTATCTATAGGATGCAGTGGTTCATTAATCACCACCTTGTGATTCATATTTTGAAAACCTCTTTTATGCAGTTGCTATGCCAATTTGACATTCCTCACCCTGCAATGGTGATATATCAGTTATAAAATGTACATGATACTGGAAACGTGTGCATTTTTATGTGTATATGTATATACATGGTTCAACTGACAGACAGAGACACTCTCTCACTCACTCATGTATGCATGCCCTTACTCACTAATGCACTTCACCCTCCACACTCATGCTCTCACTCTCACTATTGCACTCACTCACTCAGTCACTCTCATTCTCTCTCTCTCTCTCTCTCTCTCTCTAAATAATTGCTTGAAAATTAGTAAAAGAATGTAATTAGTATAAATATATGAAAAAGGAGAGGAGGAAAGAGAAGAGAAGAGAAGAGAAGAGAAGAGAAGAGAAGAGAAGAGAAGAGAAGAGAAGAGAAGAGAAGAGAAGAGAAGAGAAGAGAAGAGAAGAGAAGAGAAGAGAAGAGAAGAGAAGAGAAGTGAAGTGAAGTGAAGTGAAGTGAAGAGAAGAGAAGAGAAGAGAAGAGAAGGGAGAGAGAAGGGAGAACGAAGGGAGAGAGGAGAGAGAAGGGAGAGAGGAGAAAGAAGGGAGAGAGGAGAGAGGGGGGGGGGAAGAGGAAGAAAAGAGAGAGAGAGAGAGAGAGAGAGAGAGAGAGAGAGAGAGAGAGAGAGAGAGAGAGAGAGAGAGAGAGAGAGAGAGAGAGAGAGAGAGAGACAGAGAGAGAGAGATAAGGAGAGAGAGAGAGAGAGAGAGAGTGAGAGATAAGGGGGGGGGAGGAGAGAGGGAGAGAGGGAGAGGGAGAGGGGGAGAGGAGAGAGAGAGAGGAGAGGAGAGAGAGAGAGAGAGAGAGAGAGAGAGAGAGTGAGAGTGAGAGTGAGAGTGAGAGGAGAGAGAGAGAGAGAGAGAGAGAGAGAGAGAGAGAGAGAGAGAGAGAGAGAGAGAGAGAGAGGAGAGAGAGAGAGAGAGAGAGAGAGAGAGGAGAGAGAGAGGAGAGAGAGAAGGAGAGAGAGAAGGAGAGAGAGAAGGAGAGAGAGAGAGAGAGAGAGAGAGGAGAGAGAGAGAGAGAGAGAGAGAGAGAGAGAGAGAGAGAGAGAGAGAGAGAGAGAGAGAGAGAGAGAGAGAGAGAGAGAGAGGAGAGAGAGAGAGGAGAGAGAGAGAAAGGAGAGAGAAAGATAAGGGGAGAGAGAGAGATAAGGAGAGAGAGAGAGAGAGAAAGGAGAGAGAGAGATATAAAGAGAGAGAGATAAAGAAAAAGATAAAGATAAAGAGAAGGAGAAGGAGAAAGAGAATGAGAATATATGAGCATATAAGCACTACTATTTCCTGGAATATTAGAAAGAAACTGCCAAACAGTTTCATTAGACAGCTAAAGTAACAGTCACATATTCACATCTACCTAAGGCATACAAATAATTTGTTTATATTGTGGTAAAGAAAATCCATTATCTATAAATATTTTACTGACATATGGACAAATATATACATTACACTGAGGACATTGCAAATTATGCCTAACAATAAAAAAAGATTAACACAAAAACCTGAAATACATTTTGCTTTGAGCTTGAAGTCAAGAACTTGAAGGACTAGAGGAACATGATCTTATAATGATAGAGATCCAAACTTACTATAAGTTTTTCTACAAAGGCAGGCCTGTTCAACTAGTGTCCTGCATGACAAGTCTAAATAAACAAGTACCTGATCATAAGAGGAAAATTCTAACAATTCTATGGCACAATCTGAATTTTTTTCACAAGATATATATATATATCATTATCACAGCTTGCCAAGAATCATTTCTAGAAAAAAATAACTTAACTTTCCTCTTTCCTCAAAAAAGACCAGTACAGTTAAAGTAAAATGGTCCTGCTATTCATGGTAATATACTTTGTACTTAAGAGCTAAGAATTTGCTCCCCTAGTGCCTGTTTTATGTGTATGGGATGTTCAAGTATGAATAACTGTACATGTGTAATGATTCATGAAAACATAAGAAATTTTGCATTAGCAGTATAAATATACAGCTATACATGAATAATTCTTCATAAAAAAAATTATACATCAATAATTCATCCATGCATAGGGTGAATAGTGCAACTGCTGTTGTACTACTCAGTTTCCTGTGCTTGAAACACACTGTCGTACAGTCCATTTAACAAACTATGTACAAATTAAAAAAAATATACTATCTTAAAAACTAGATAAATTATTAAACAACTTATTTTCTGTTGGAATGCCTTCAAATCATAATGATTTCGTATCCATTCAACGCACTTGTTTAACTCATCATCAACACTGGCTTTCCTGACATTAATCATCCATGACACATTGTCCGAGTGATGTTGAAGCATTCCAGAAAGTCTACGTGTCCATTTTCACTTCAAGGTTTTCAGAACACAGGGAAGGTACTTCTACAGATGCAGGAGCCTCTTCAGTGTCTGATAACATCATCATGACATCATCAGCAGTTGAAATCACTTGTACTGGAGATGTCATTAAGCTGTCTGGGTCATCTTGATTCTCATGACCAGCTGGTACGCCTGCTGGAGATACCATCAAACCAGCCATAGGGATTCTAATAAAATAAAGAAACAATGAAATCACTCTGACTACATCAGACACATCAAAATTGTCTAAAACTTATACATCATTTTTATTTCTATTTTTTTCCAGACTATATTGTTACATATCATAAAGATACATTTCAGAGTAAAAGAAGTATTATAAAGGACTTCTATTTCATGGTAGTCTTAGACATTTTTTTTCCCCTTGAGTTTTTAGCTTCAACACAATGACATAGACAGATATACAGACAGACACACGCACCCCCCCCCCCCTACACACAAGCACATACAAAAGCATCTATACACTCTGTGTTAAGCTATAGACAAAATATTTTCCATTATTCCCTGTATTAAAAAAGAAGTTAATGATACTGTAAATTTGTTATTAGGCATTAGGCATTTTCTGACAACAGAAAATCAATAAATGCTAAATGTCACACATTTTTGCAATAATAGATAAAAGAAAAACAGAAAATCCATAACACATGTGTAGTCATTTTTATTTTTTATTATTATTATTTTTTTAATGTAAAATATCTTAATTCTAATCTCTATAAAGCAACCAAGCAAAAATAAGTTTCTAAATGTAATACACAGTACTTACTTGGACCAGGATATATATCTTTATCTTAAATCTACATTTATCTCTGCTAATGCGTGTTGCTGATAGACAGGTGTAACATAAATAAGTAAATAAAGAAAAAGGAAGCAAAATAAATGTAAAATATGACAAAAGGTGTGAAAAATGAATAAGAAGAAAAAATTAGGAAAAAAAGAAAAAAGAAAAAAGAAAGTAATTAAAAACACAAATCTACATTGATAATACTTTTCAAATCCCGAAGCTTTTCCCTATAGCTCTTAATACTTACTTCAAAGCATAGCTTATTCTACCCAATGTTGGAACAGATAAATGTAAAAGGTTCATTCACTGTTCTATCAAACAAAATGCACTTGCCGTTCCATGCTGATAGAGGCGTCCACGTATCATCAAATGTCTAAAAAAGTGTTACCAATAAACTGCCGTCACTGTAATGCTAAGTCCTAAGCTTGCATCACGCATGTCAAAAATTATTTCCTGTTAAATCTGGCTTCCACTGATCTCCTTTGTACTGTGATCCAACACTGGCTTAATCACAATAATTCTATACAATCTATCTCAGTTTATATTTGTCATCTGCATTCAAAATGTCTTGCATAATTGAGCAAACTAATATCATAATTTTTTTCCACATAAGATAAAACATTTCCAATAATGCATAAACAACTTGGACTAATCACACCTTCAAAACTATCTCTATTCCAAATGCTGATATTAGCCCCAAAATGATTTTACAATAAGATAATTAGAAAACAATATACTCCATTTACCAAATAAAACATGAACAGTCAGTGCCTACAAATTACTCTTTGTCAGTTAATTCTATCATGAAAAATAATATAAACTCTATTCCTACATGGGGCTAACTATTCTTTTATCTATATAGACCTATGTCTCATATGGATACAACAGCTAATAATAATATTCAAAGATCAAAGATATTATTAAGTTCAAGTTAATGAAATGTAGAGGAAAAAAAAAACTACCAACAGAAAACTGGATTGGACGATCCTTACTCTGAAAAGGAAAGGCATTACCTACCTTCGAGGGGAGAGGACATTAACGATTCTTCAGGAGAAAAAATACACAGTCTAGAGAAAAAATAAGATTATGCAATCTTCTTCAGAAAAATCTGCTAGTCTGATGTTAAAAGGACTGTCAAATGATTTCTGGGAAAAGGGAAATTACCAAGGCTCATGGACATCTGTACACTGGTAAGCAAATATTATATCAAATATAGGACCATTCCATAGTGTTGTTTAGAAAAATCAACCAAAAAGAGAACTTAACAAAGTAGAAATTAAAGTAATTTACAAAATTATAGGCTGAGTTTATTTAGACATCAAAATTAAAAGGTCTCATGATTTCTTAGTGACTTGGTGTAATATGTGTCCTATATATCTGATATGATTTACGAATTTTCTTTAATCATCATTACAATCTATGGGACC